CACAAAAGCCATAACCTTCGCGAGGGCGTAGAACGTAACTCCTCAATAATGTCAAAACGGACATCGAAATCTCACCTTAATTAGCGATTAAATAGCCTTGTTGCTGCTGTCAATCCCGGAATAGGTTTATTCCCCCGTTTTAATCCATCAGAAACGCTCACAATTCCCATCCACAATGTAGCTGTGCCATCTGCTAAAACATCGTAATCCGGATCATCACAACGACGACTTCGAGCTCACGTCCCGTTGTCTGCTATTTGTGTATTTTTTTTCTTAGTTTTATGTCTGTTTTTTCCCCTTAACAGAGCAGGGTGTCCCTTTCCCCTTTCTTTGTTCTGTAATCCAGTAAAATTGAAACTCATTCGCCTCCTGCTAATCCCAGCCCAACTCAACAACAGCATCTATTGGCTGCAATTTACATACAGGATTAACGGAGCAACCTCTGGAAAAACCCTCAGGGAGCAAAATGTACACGGAAAGGAGAATGTCCTTAAAAAATAATAATAGTGAAACGCGCATATATTTTATTTAGACTGTGGCTATTTAAATCGCTGTCTGCCACTTGACAGCAACTTCACACATTACTTTGTGCTTTAAGAAATCCTTCATAGACTGCGTGTAGGTGCTTTGATGCGATAGCTGCGCAGTATCCAAATTATTTTTAGGATTAGGATCTGTCCAAAGTGGATCTACGGCAGCTACATGGATCTTGTAGCCGTGGAAGTTATGCCATAGCTGCAGTGATTGCCCAAAATAGCTCATGTCTGTTTGATATAGGGCAAAGTTCAGATCCTAGAGAAGAGGTGCTTTTCTTTTTTACATTTCCATGCAAGTGTGGAAATATATGAATATTTAAAAATAAGAAAGAGTTTCTAGATTCTGACAAAATGTTTTAACCAGAATTAAAATGTAGTGCCCAAACCTCAATATGTAAAGTTTTTCTGCTTCTCTAGCTCCACTGTGATCTGCATATGTAATATATTGTAGAAATGAACTGAATTTATAAACTATAATCCCAGTCTTGGCCATCTGTTATGTAAACGGGTGTGAATGTTTAATTAGTCTTAAAAAAGTCAGTTTTACTATGACCTTTTAACAGCTGTTGTAAGGTCGTTGGCTTCACTTTAGCTTTAGAATTGATTTTTAAAATTTGAACTCTTATTTTTGGTTTGCTCCACGGTCTGAGACATCAATATCGCTCTGCCAGTAAGCTAAGACCCAGCTTGACCCCTCGGGTCAGCAGGATCAGGTTATTTCACAAGTCACAACAAATGGTAATGAAACCAGTTTTAGGTTTTATGCCTTGCAAAGTCTTGTTAGGTGCACTGGACCATTAGAAGTTTAGAAGTAGAAACATGCCTGTTTAGCCATTAGCTGTTTATATAGTCTATAGTTGCTGGTTTTAAATGTAATTGTTCCCAATTTCTGCTTGTTTTCATTTTTGTTTTAATTTCATTGGACTACTGGTGATCTTACTTTATTTTATTTCTACTGCGTTTATTAATCTTAAGTTATGTTTTTTTTACACTTATTTGTTTTATGGGTAATATTATTTACATCCAGCTTTTCATCTGGTTTTACTCAAGGATTGTGCTAGAATGTCTGTTATAGCTTATGCTTTGAAACATGCTATATAAATAGCTGCACTGTATTTAATGTAAAGAAAAAAGGAACCAAGTAAATCCAAGTATAACTTTTTACTTGGTTCCTTCTTTTTTAAAACGCACAAATTGATTGGTTACTTTATTATATTAAATATAAATAAAACTGTTCATATGGCTTTTTTAATATTTAATGTAATAAATGGTAAAACTTAGGTTTACTTGGTTTTGTTTTTGATGCACTGGTTTCTTTATTACATTAAATAGACATCAGCATGCAATCGTTTAACTTGTCCAACCGTCTTAATACCAAGTTTGGTTATACGTGCCCCGTAAACTAACATTAGCTTGACACTCCATCTGTGAGGAAAAGGGAACGTTTCTTATAAAAGTACTCGGACCATTAAATTTTAATCATAAGTTATTTACATTAAATCCATTGCAATCTCACTAGTTTGTTACTTTTCCCTCTTAACTGCTGTGTTCAACTCTGTTTCACCAAGAGCAAAAATGACATCTGTGCCTCATCTATGCTGTGCTTTTACAAATAAGTCACTTCTTACTTATTCAAAATGTCACCTGCATAACCAATCAGCCCTCTAGCAGAAACTGGGACATGTGGATAAGCCCTGACATTTGCCAAGGCCAACAAATAAAACTGATATATCTGGAAGCTAGAAATCGAGAGTTTGTAAATTAGTGTGCAGCGTCTGGATGTCTCATCTCCACCGTGTGGCAACTTTTCCCTCATGAAGGATTTATTGCCATCTTTTCTCGCTGATATCACCGCGTTTTATTTAATGACAAATATTTAGCCATGCACATTATGGTCGTTGGCTGAATCTCCTAAACCGCCGAGCCCCTAAATCCGACACCGCCGCTTTAACCCAGCTCTGCAGAAATATTCCGATCTGCTGCGCTTGGTCTCAAAAACAAACATGCTGAAAGTCGTATAAGCATGAAAGGGTGTGAAATAAAACACCAGCAGCCCTTGCCTGCATTGTTAATATTTAATGACTCAATCTCCAAAACCATCGCAGCAATACTCCAAAGGGTATGAACCCTCCAGCTGAAAAGGCCATGTACAATATCCAGTGGAAAATTCAGGTTTTATTTGAGCTGACCAGTGCCTGCCCTGCACGTGTTCTCAGGGGACACTACTCAAGCCTTTCTGCACACCCCCACCCCACCTCTGTGTAGTGTCTCCTGTGAAGCAATAGCAACCTGTGACCAACTACAAACAGGATCCCCCCTTAGTTCAGTTTGACAAATGGATAAAAACAATACTTGGAAGACTTAAGAGTATAAATGTTAGAGGCAAATGAAATCCGGATGATTTCGATCCAGGGAAGGATGAACGTAACTTCCCACATTCCCACACTGTTGTTTGGGTTTTAGCTCCTGGGAAAGCCCTTCAGAAGACTTCAGAAAGGGTCAGTAAAGAAATCCAGGGCCATTACAATGGGCTCACACTGTATTTTGTACCATATATAGTAAATTAACACAAAGCCACCGATCAGAGAAAGAGATGTATTGATGCGCGGTCAGACAGTTTTAGACAATGGAAAAAGTCTGAAATGGTTCACTGTATTTGTACTACAAATGTCCTGCAACGTCTCCCAGGTTCGGTCTGCACAATGAGTCCACTGATGTGTAAATGGCTGAAAAGCTTAACAAACACCTTAAGGGAGGATTGGTAGTAACATCATCACCATCAGTCCTGTAACAGATGACGCTCTTCATGCGTGTTGGCGAGGGAGGGCGGGGTCTTCCAAGACGGGAAGAGGTTGATTTAGTATTTTATCCTTGGATCAGAAATGACCGTTAAAAGGGCTCCAGTCAACATTTAAACGACCAGACTGAACCTAACTTTGTGCTCATCGTGCTTCTACCAGTATACGTACATTAAGACGCTTTGGGACCAAATGGTTCTGAGGAGCTACCTGAGAACTTCATAACTTCAAGGGCATTTTTCCTGTTTGCTGCAAACAAATGTTGACCAGGCGGTGGCTGTAGAGGAATAGAAATTATCCCACGGTTCAGTAAAGCACGTCCTTCACTGTCCTTATATTCTGTTTACATTGGGCTTATTACACTTTTCCTTATGTATATACTGTTATCATGATGACTGCTCATATTAAACATGGCCAAGCTTTCAAACGCTCAGGTCAACATCCAGCACTGTGCTGGATGAGTACATACTCGGTCTGCAGACAGGACAGCATTGCTTTGTACTATTCTTCCACCGTCTCTGTCATCTTCTCCTATATTGCAACAAACTGTTGCTTTTGTATTTGTTCAGTGCTCATGTTTCTTTTAAAAACACAAAAAGTTGAAAAGTGACTGTAAAAACTGGTTATTTTCACAAAGTTGGTAGCAGAGATGCTTTTATTATAGTGTAAATTTGTAGTTACTATGGCGAGTGCCCTGAGATGACTTGTTTTGATCTGGTGCAGTGTAACTAAAATTGAGTTCAAATAATTCTGGATTAAGGGTAATGTTTGCTACCAATCCTCATCAGATATCAAGCAAGGTGAGACACGAGTCAAACTTCCTTTAAAATAAAAACAAAATCAGGCCATCAGCTCACGTACAGCAGACAGGATTATTACAAAGCCAAGGAGCAAAATAAAAGTAATAAATAAAACAAAGCGACCGAGACCCAGTTTTTCTTCTCATCGTCCATCAGTCTTTTTGCTTTCTTCGTCAAAATTCAGCGCAGTCATTCAGATTTCAGCGAATGACAAAACTTCAACTTGTAGCTTCAAATTTTCTAACTAATGTAAAGCATCAAAAGTTGCCACACTGCCAGTTCTCAGCAGTTGTTGAGCTGATAATCTCTTCACGTCCATATCTCTTTCTTTTTCTTATTTTTTTTCCTGTTTAAAGTACTTTTAAGTGGTCTTCATGATTGGCTAATAGGTGCTTTCTGTAACAACACATATATTCACTTGAGACAGAGATTCGCTGTTTTGGTATTAACTGTAAACTGAAATGTTTCAGGCGTCCACCGCAGCATCGGGAGACATGTCGGACCAAACTTTGACGTTTCAGGTGTACTTCAGCACGTCCCAGTTCACTCGGGGACAAGTTAGCGTCCCACTCTCATCGCTTCTGCTCATATCAGTGTTGTTCCTAGGGAAGGAAACGTAACGCATGTCTTCCTTAAAATGTATTATTTTTATTATTAAATCAATGACTGAAAAAAGCAAAAGGAAAGAATACCAACATCTTGAGCGCTGTGTGACTCCTGGTGGTGAATTCCATTAGCCGAATTTGCACCGTGGACCTGGAAAACAGTCAGAAATGATCATTTTAGTCCTGTTCTTGGCCTGATTAGACATTAGAAGACCTGTTCAGGAGACCTGGGTTTTAACATCTTAAAACAGTCTTAATAGCTACCATTTGTAGGAGACTGATGGGATTTGGCACCAGAAACGTTCTGGTTCTGGCTGCATGCATGCAGTCTAGGTGGGGATCGAAAGCGTGATTGCATTTGCTGCCTGCAGAGGCCTTTCTGTGGAGTGTTTGCACGTACTCCCTATGTCTGTCTGGGTTTATTGCCCAAACACAAACTAGCTGTAGTATGGATATGTCAATTGTGGTTGCTTGTTTCTCCATCTTGTTTTTTAAAAAAAAATTTACCGGGCTTTTTTCTGGATTCTTCCGCATGGCCTGGACCAGCTGGTCGACTTGTTGGTTGTGCTCTAAGGCGTTCCTCAGGGCTTCCTCAGTGCTGAGCAGCCGTTGGCGCAGACGGGTCACCTCCGAGTCAAGAGCCGAGGGGTCTAGCATCGAGTACCGCCGGTGGTCAGGGGAGGATCGTTCCCGACCCTGAAAGAACCGCACAAGCTAACTGGTAAGTAAGTTAAATCATCCAAACTGTATTAGGTTTATGGGTTTTGTATATATTTCTTTTGTTTTTAACGCACTTCAAGTACTTTGTAGTGAAACAAGTGCAAAGAGCAGGCTTTTATTACCCATTTTACAGGATTTACATCATGTAGTTTACATGAAACTTTATACATGTATTTAAATCGTTATAATCTGTTACTCTAATGTAGATAAAGTCATGATAAAATGAATCGATAATACTCAAAGTCATACCAATCTATTCTTTAAATAGCTCTATTATTATCACTTTAACCTTCAGAGCAATCTATTGACTTTGAAGAAGAGGTCAGAGGTCAAATGTGACAT